CCCTGGTGGCACAGTGGTTAAGAATCCGCCTGCCAATGCAGGGGACATGGGTTGGAGCCCTGGTCCGAGAAGATCCCACATGCCGCGGAGCAACGAAGCCTGTGCACCACAACTACTGAGTCTGCGCTCTAGAGCCCTCGAGCCACAACTACTGAGCCTGCAAGCCACAACTACTGAAGCCCGCGCACCTAGAACCTGTGCTCTGCAACAAGAGAAGCCACCGCAATGAGAAGCCCGTGCACCGCAACGAAGAGTAGCCCCCACTCGCCGCAACTAGAGAAAGCCCGTGCGAAGAAACAAAGACCCAACACAGCCAAAAAAATACATAAATAAATAAATAAAACAGGCTGGGGCGCAAAATAAGTTGGATGAGGTTGCTCTGGTGAAAACACACAGGGGACCCTGAGCACGTGCCTGTGTGTCAGTGCTTTTCACAAGACACCAATCTGTCTTAAACCAGCCTAAGTATGAATTAACGCTTTCAGTATAATGTTAGGTGAACGTGCTTTACAGGTTCAAAGTACAATAGATACGATCTAATAAAAAGAGAGAAAGAAAAGAAATTTTCCAGGTCATTTTGCATCACAAAAAAGATCAGAAGATCTAGTACAAAAAACAGAAGGCGTGTTAACAGCAAACCCATCTCAAACATCCTCTCCCCACCCACCAGGGTTAATTTCAGGTGACAACAGTAAACCATAACTCAACATTCGACAGAGTACTGGCGGTTCAGAGATGACAAAGGCATGGTCCCCAGGCTCTAAAAGCTCCCAAGGGAACAAAGATCTTCCCACACATAACAACCCACAATGCCCCAGTGGCAAGAGCCATAGGGTACAGGTATAAACAAGACAGAGAGGAGACCAGCTCTGCTTGGAGGAGGAAGGAGGGGGTGGGAGATGCTTCCCTACAACAGCAGTGATATTTGAGCTGGGCCTTGAAGACTGAGTAGGAGTTTACCACACAGGAAGAGAGAGAGGATCTGGGAAAGGGAAAAAGAACATTCCAGAGGAAGGGAAGAACACAGCAGAGGAAAGTGCACTGGCTGTCTGCTGCCTTTGAGGGGTTCGGGAAGCCAGAGATTTCTCACTAAGCCACCAAGCCCTAGCTGAGCAGCCACCCCAGAACTGGTCTGAAGTGGAAAGGTGAGAAAAAATAAACACAATAAAACATGTCCAGTGAGATAACTTTATTGGTCCAGACATGAACAGAGGTAGAGACGGAGGCAGAATGTTAGAGCACGTCTATCCCGGCAAGCATTTTCATCAAGAATCCGTTCTCCAGGCATTCCCAATATTTATGATTCTCCATTCAACATGTCATCCTGTCACTATAACTCTGTGTGAGATACGCCACCCTGGGCCAGCCCAATTATCCATACGATCCAATATTCTGTCTCTGACACAGCACTAGGGGACGTTGGTTGGGAGAAAACATGACAGATGTGACCCCACTGTCTGTGTCCACTTCAGAATGTTAGAAGATTGGTTGATGGTGGCTGAGAAGTCTAGCCTTATTTGCAAAGTGTGTACTTAAAAAGAAAAGAGAGAGAGAGAAAACTGTATTAATGTAGAACTTATGTAATTGATAATTCTTAGTGCTTCTCATTAGCCACTCTTCAATGAACAATAACTAAGTCTCTGCAAGGCCTTATATGATTTGGGGGGAAACTAGAGGAAACCATCCATTAATGTATTATTTAAAGTGGCTTCATCCTTCTTGCTAACAGGCTTATAAATACTAATGCAGATTCTTAAATTGGGACTAGTTCTAAAAGCTACACCAGACAAACCCAACCCATGCGAAAGATAAAGAACGTTCTTGCGTCTTCACTGACTTTGGGGGGGGTGGGGAGCGGAAGGTGGAACTGACCCCTGCACACGGCAGGTCTTTGTTGACTTAACTAAATTTCAATGGCAAGCTGTGCAGGCAAACTTTCTCTGTATAAATGCCATTCTCTAACAAGACCCACACTGATTTATTAGCTCCTGTATGAGCGGATCCGTCCAGTGCATAATGTTTTGTATCGCAAATCTTTGAGGGCTACTGATGGTTATTACTAGCACTACGCAGCGGGCTGGCTGAAAAGACCAACCCAGCTCATGAGCAGCCGTCCTTTCTATACCATGCATACATGGAAATTCCTCTTTGATTTGTGGTTTTAATCACGGCTTCCAAAACCCGTCATTATTTATGACTCTGACTTTTACACTGACGGTCAACGGGAAACACTGACTCGGGTCACCTGATAGGCGAGCACTCTGCAGCTCCAAGCTGCTCGTGGGCTCCACTGTGATATTATACATCTCAATTTTCCTGCCAACCCACCCAGCTGGGGACAGAGCTGGAGGAGGTGTGGGTGAGGGGGCCAGACTCTACACAGTCTGATGAATGGAAGAGCGCTACTGAAAAATGCAGCGACTTCTCCACTCAGACTTGAGGCAGATTCGAAAAGGAAAAAAAGGTTGCAAAACAAAACCCACAGCCCCTGGGGTGAGTGTATGCGCGTAGGGGGCTCTATTTTCCTACTGTTCAAAATATTTGAGACAATCAAGCAATGCTGGCCAACATTACACCACTTTTCTAATGACTGCCTTGGCCAAACTGCCAGGAAGGTCGCCTTCCTTCTTCTGGAAAGAAGCAAACTCCTCCGCGGATGCACCGAGTTCCATGCCTGTCTTACACGGTCCAACCCCGCCATCACCCTCCCCTCCTGCTCTCTGCCACCTTCCCCTTTGCACGGACTCCTTCCCCCAATCCACGGTTATGCTCTCCCCTGTGCCTTGATCTTAAAAAGCAATGCTTATTTTTTTAACTGAAGTATGCCATTCACACAGAAAAGTACACAAAAAGTAAGTGTTCCACTTGACTAATTTTTTAACTGAACATGCCTGTGAAACCAGTCCTCAGCTCAAGAAAGACAATTTAACCGGCATCTCCAAAAGCCCCCCATGCTCCCTCCCACTTACTGCCTTACCCAAAGGGGACCACTCTCCTGCCTTCTACACCAGATCAGCTAGATTGCTGTGCTTGTTTCCATACTCTGTGTAAACAGAGTCATCCAATCTCTACCCTTTTGTGTCTGGCTTCTTTCACCAACCACTATGTTTGTGAAGTTCATCCATATGTGTGTGACGCTGTAGATAATTCACTCTTACAACTGCATAGTTTTCCATCGTGTGAACATAACCACCATTTATAATCCATTTTACTCACGATGGACATTTGGGTGGGTTCCAGTTTTCGACTATTAAGAATAGTGCAACTATGACCCTGGCTTTGTGAAAATATGTGTTCACGTTTTGTGGGCAAGTAACCAAGAGTGGAACGGTTGGGCCATCCAAATCCTTTTTCTTTTCTTTTAAGGTTGTCAGAGTAGATATAAATAATGCAAAGATGTTCTGGGCTCTCTTATCCAGGAAGAAAAGCAACCCCTCCAGCTGCTTCTTCTCAAAAGGGTCTGTTTTCCTGGCTACACTGGGAGCTGCCAAGAACAGTGACCACTCCCCAAAATGCCCAATGGCCAGCCAGTGTCTGGAATACAGTGGGTGCTCGATGCACGGACTACAGACAACATATCCTCAACTTCCCGATGCCACTCATTCTGGCCCGGCTTCTGGCCCCTGGCTGCACTGGAAAAGTTCTCACTGAGGTCACTCACCCATTGCCCTCCTTGGCCTGACCCAACTCAACCGGCACCTCCCATCTGTGCCATCTCTACGTGCACCTTCCCTCTAGGTGGGAGCAGCTCTGGGATGGAGCCCAGGGTTCTTCATCCCTCTATCCCCAGTGCCTCCCCACAGGCTGGTGCCTGGGAGGAGCTGGAGAAACATCTGTTACATGGATGAATGACTTTCCAAACAGGGAAAGCAACCACTTGCCCTCATCTCTTATTTTTTTCCTCATTAGGCTAAGTGGTGTTTTGAAGCTCAAAACCACTTTCTCCTTCATTAGCTAGGTTTTGTTGCAAAATTTCTGCTTAAAAAAAAATCTTCATTTGTGAGGTAGAAAGCCATATAAAACTCTCTTTTTAAACAGAGACAATTTCAGGGAATCTCTAATGTTCATCTGTTTGTCTCATAGGAAATGGAAAATACAGAACAACAAAAGTAAAATGCATTACAGTTATCAGCCGGGAAGCACAGTTGACTCGGCCCACACCATGCTGACTCTTTTGTTCCTTGCTCACCCCCATCCTGTTGGGAGGAGACAGGTACATGCTTTTAATCCCCAACACACCAACAGGAAAAAGGAGACGTGAAGGCTGAACAACTTGTCAAGGGCTCCTCAACAAAGCATGGTCTGTGCCGGCAAAAGTCAGCTCTTCAAACTGAGCCCAGTGGGAAAGGCAGCCTTTCAGGTTGGCTCAGCTAATCAACAAGACTTCTGGGTGCGGACAGAATGAAATCAAGTTTCAGAGAAAGACAAATATATGATACCACTTACCTGTGGAATCTAAAAAAATGATACAAATGAACTTATTTACATTACAGACTCACTCACAGGCATAAAAAACAAACTTATGGTTACACCAAAGTGGAAAGGGGGGAGAGAGAAATTAGGAGCTTGGGATTAACATATATACACTACTAAATATAAAAGAGATAACCAACCAACAAGGACCTACTGTAGAGCACAGGGAACTATACTCGATATCTTGTAATAACCTATAATGGAAAAAGAATCTGAAAAAGGAATATATATATAATAAATATATAATAAAAAGAATATAAATATATGTATATACAACTGAATCAGTTTGCTGTACACCTGAGCCTAACACGACATTGTAAATCAACTACACTTCAATTAAAAAAAAAAAAAATCCCCCCCCCGCAAGAAAAGGAAAAAAAATGAAATCAAGTTTGATTTAGAACCAAGGGCCAAATCCAGCCCTGTGTTTGTAAATAAAGTTTTATTAGCAAACAGCCATGTTCATTCATTTATGTATATCTGTGAGTGCTACCAGGCTACAGGGGCAGACTTGAGTGGTTATAGCAGGCCTTCTGGCCAGCAAAGTCTAAAATGTTTACTATCTGATCCTTTACAGAAAAAAAAATTTGCCCATCTCTGACTTGGAGAATAGTCTGATGTCTGGATTTTGTTCTATTTCCCAACTATTAGCACATTTAAGTTCCTGTTCAAACTATTTCACTCAACAGGGGGGTCTTTACTTTAAAAAAAAAAATTGACAATCTTTGATTTGAGTTTATATAATAGTTCAGAGAGAAGGTTCAATGGTTTGGTTTGGGGCTAAAATTAATCCATTTTCTCTGCTTGGCTGTGGTCCTCAAGCAGAACATTTTTACAGACCTGGACTAAGGTGGGCAGGTGAAATGGAATGCATTCTGCTCTGGAGGATGTCTTTTATTCAAGCTTGAACATACACCACTCCTTCTAGCATTAAGATTCAAAGAGTCTACCTGTATCCCTCTGATTTAGCTAATCCCGTTTTCAACAAAGGTCCAGATATTATTTGTTGGCACCTAGATTTTCTCATCAACGGAAGTACACCTTCTTCCAACTTCTTTCATAGATACCTCAAAAACTAAACATTTGAAAAGAAATACACAGTCCCCCAAATACTGATAGATTCTCCAAGTCTGTCTTTTGAAGCTAAACGCATCTTACGATAACATGGCAGCTGACTTCAGAAGTGAAATCCAGCTTTAAACTCTTCATGTACATGTCTGATCACATATGAAACTTTCAGCTCATTTTTTAAAACTTTCTGTTAAGGAAATTTTCAAACACATGCAAAAACAGAATAGTATAATAAACCCCACACCCCTAGCAACCAGTTTCAACAAGTATAAACATTCTGCCAATTTTTCCCACTCATCCTTCTTTCCAACTTTTTGATGACTTATTGTTTGTTGCAGCATTTTCAAA